AGCCAGAACATCGAGAGAGGGAAGAGATATACCAGCCAGGATATCATCTTCCAGAAGACAACAATTGGTAAGAAAAATCCAATTTGTTCTACGGCTCATTAACTGAGCGATTGAAGATTTCTTCTGTAGGAAGTAAGGAAAGAGATACACTAGCGAGGATATCCTCTTTCAGAAGATAAGAATTGGTAAAGGAAATCCAATTTGTTCTACGGTTCATTAACTGAGTGATTGAAGACTCCTTCTGTAGGAAGAAGAAGAAATTCAAAAGAAAAATTGAATTTTGAGAAAAATAAGGAATTGCAATAAGCAATTATTAGGATTGTGCAATCCTGTAAAAGAAAACGTTTTGCAAGAGTGGGACGCATTACGTTAAAGGAATTCCAGTATATTTAAAGATAAAGTAGTCGCGACCAAAAAGGGAAAGTTGGCCGCTAAGGGTTGAAACACTATTTAAAACTCGCAGAAGAAAGTAAAAGTCCGACAAGAGAACGAGACAACACCCAGGAGCTAAGCAGCGAAGAGGAGTCAGGAACCCAACTCGCACATCAGCAGTTGAGGGAAGCCACACCAACGGACGGACGAAAACCTTCTTCACGACAACTAGTTCGAAGCCAACGTAAAACGGTGAGTCCTTGCTAGAAGTACATGAGTGCCAGATCGCAAAACGTAAATTTACAAGTTGCAGAGGTAGATAGTTCAGGCAACATGGCCGAAGAGTATGTTAGCGTGAGCGAAGCCCTTAAATTAGTGTCACCATTTAATGGAAATAAGAGGGAAGTTCTTACATTCATTTCTAACGTAAACACAGCCTTTGAGGTAATAAACCCTGACCATCAGGATAGATTATACAAATTTGTATTAACTAGAATTAGTGGGAAACCAAGAACAGCGATATCTCATAGAAATTTAGATAACTGGGCAGAACTAAAGGAATTTTTACGGAATACTTACATCGAGAAACGCACCTTAGATTTTCATGCCAATCAGTTATTCAGAGCAAAACAAGGAAAATCAGATAACGTTTCCGAATGGATCCAAAGAATTCAAACGCTTGGTTCTAGATTTAGGGAAGCTGCACTGACAGATTGCACCGAAAATGAACGAGCAGGCATCTTGACCTTGTCAGACCAGTTGAGAAACATTTGCTTTGTACAGGGACTGTATTCCGATAGAATACAAACAATAGTCCGTAGTCGAAACCAAGACGATTTCGATGAAATAGCGGAAACCGCCTTAGAAGAAGAAAGCGCTATAGTTTCCAAAATAGACAGGTACAAGGGACAGGACGCTAACCCAGTACAGTGCACATTCTGCAAGAAAACGGGTCATGCAAGTAACAAGTGTTTTCTTAGGGATAAAAGAGAGAGCCGTATAAGCTATTTTTCAGCTAAGAAACCTAGCCCAACTAATGAATTCACATGTTATGCGTGTGGGGAAAAGGGTCACATTGCTAGAAATTGTAAAAGACCTAAAAGACTTTCGGAACAGAGGAACCGAAAATCCGAGGTTTCGGGAAACGAGAAGGGACTGTCCGCTCACAGTCGGCAGACGGTCGGTACTTTACAATAGGCTGTATCAGTGGAGATAAATGTGAATTCTTAGAACTGGAAGTTGATGTTAGTAAGACGGGAAGTTTGAGGTTCTTATTGGACACAGGGGCGGATATAAGCCTAGTCCATTGTACAAAAGTGATAGGCACTACTGAATTTGATCCCGACCGGAAGGTAAAGATAAAAAGTGTAGAAGGCACGATAGTAGAAACTTATGGCACAGTGAAAATGTGTGTCGGTGATGAGAATTTAAAGATCCCGTTTAATTTCCATGTAGTAGGAATGCAAGTAGATCTTGCCTATGATGGGATCATTGGTAGGGATTTCCTACGCCAGGCTAGAGCCCGAATCTCTTACGAAAATAACAGAGTAGTGTTAAGAACAGATAATGGGGAGTTAGCCAAGACAATTTTATGTATCAAAACAGCGCAAGAGAATACCCATACGAAAGGTTTACGACTACCTAAGAGATCGGAGGTGATTGTGAAGTTAAAAGTCGAAAAGGGGATAGATGGTACTGATGGGATAATTGAAAAGTTAGAGGTATCAGAGGGAGTATACCTAGCCAGTTCCCTAACAAGAATACGGGATAACCAAGTTATCACTAGCATCCTGAACACAAGAGAAACGGATGTAGTGATAGATATTCCCGCCGTAAAGTGGGAAGAATATAGATCAGAAAATCCCAGTAGAGATCACTCTAGTTGCATAGGAGTGGTAACCCCTGTCAGACAAAAAGAGAAACCAAACACAGAGGATGAGGTTCTAAGAAATTTGAGGTTAGATCACCTCAACTCTGAGTAAGTAATAGTCATGGAAAATACCTGTAGGGAGTACGAAGACATATTTTATCTACCAGGTGACAAGTTAAGTTGTACGAGTGCCATAAAACACTCCATAAATACGGAACCGGGAACCAGCCCCATAAACACGAGGCCGTATAGGTTACCCGAAGCCCAAAAAGCCGAAATTGATAAACAGGTGACTAAGCTTTTGAAAGAGGGGATAATTGAGGAAAGTAACTCCCCCTGGAATAGCCCCCTACTAGTCATACCCAAAAAGGAGGATGCTAGCGGAGAAAAGAAGTGGAGACTCGCGGTGGATTTCAGGAAACTCAACGAGAAAACCATTGGCGATGCATATCCACTTCCGGATATAACAGAAATATTGGACCAATTAGGGCAATCCAAATACTTTAGTTGTTTAGACATGGTGATGGGCTACCACCAAATAGAGTTGAAGGAGGAAGACAAAGAGAAAACCGCCTTTAGTACTAAAAATGGACATTGGACATATAAGAGACTTCCTTTTGGCCTGAAAACAGCTCCTTCAACGTTTCAGCTTATGATGAATTCCGTGTTATGTGGACTAACAGGATCCCGTTGCTTCGTATTTTTAGACGACATCGTAATATACGCGGGATCGCTAAACGAGCACGATGCAAAATTAAGGGAAGTTTTTGAAAGAATTAGGAAGTTCAATCTGAAGCTTCAACCCGACAAGTGCGAATTTCTTCGCAAGGAGGTAAATTATTTAGGTCATGTAATCACTGAGGAAGGGGTACGACCCGACCCAGGAAAAGTGCTAGTGATAGAAAACTTCCCACAACCTACTTGTACCAAACAACTCAAAAGTTTCCTAGGCATGGCCAGTTATTACAGAAAATTTATTCCCAACTTTAGCAGAATAGCTGCTCCCCTACACAATCTAATGAAAAAGGATGCAAAGTTCGAGTGGGTAGACAACCACGAACGAGCCTTCCAAAATTTGAAAACAAAACTAACCTCTAAACCCATACTGCAATACCCAGATTTCACAAAAGAATTCATACTGACTACAGACGCCAGTAATGAAGGTATTGGAGCAATCTTATCCCAGGGGCAGATTGGAAAGAACCTACCCATAGCATATGCCAGCCGAAATTTGAATAAGGCAGAAAAGTCCTACTCCACCAGTGAGAAGGAACTTTTAGCAATAGTTTGGGGGATAAAACACTTTAGGCCCTACCTATATGGGAGAAAATTCAGGATTGCTAGTGATCACAGACCGTTAATTTGGATAATGAACGTCAAGGACCCAGGATCTAGACTATTACGATGGAGAATAAAACTCGAGGAGTATGACTACGAAATAATCTACAAAAAAGGAGCATTAAACACCAATGCGGATGCTCTGAGCAGAATAGGTGGTATAGTTTTAGAAGACAGACCCCAACTAGAAACGGAGATAAGCCCCAAAAAAGGAGACAGATTCTTCATGCGTATCACGATGCACCGTTAGGGGGACACCGTGGTATGAATAAGACATACAAAGCTATAAAATATAAACATTTCTGGCCCAACATGAAGCAGGAGATTGAAAATCATGTTAAGCAATGCAAG